ACTTGACTCCCCTCCTCCTTTCTATCCTGACTCCCTTCCCCCCTCCCTCCTCTCCTCCCTTCTACCCCAACTACCCTCCTCCCCTCCCTCCTCTCCTCCCTTCTAACCTGACTCCCCTCCTCCCCTCCCTCCTCTCTTCCCTTCTACCCGAACTCCCCTTCTCCCCTCCCTCCTGTACTCCCTTCTAACCTGACTCCCTTCCTCTTCCTCTCCTCCCTCCTCTCCTCCCTTCTCTTTCCTCCCCTCCCTCCCTTTCTTTCTTCTTCTTTTTTCAATTTTAAGAATAAAAGAAAGCAAAGGAAAAGGGGAAGGAAAGATCAATAGGCATAATTACTTTAAACGTTATTGATGTTAAAAGGGAAAAGCCACCACACTTGCGCGCACCTACTGAGTGGCAGGAAGGGCCAGTGTTGCACATGTCCCACCCAAACCCCACAGGAGCTTTCCGGGCAGGTGTTGTCACCTCCTTTTTATGAGTGAAGAAGAGGCTAAGCCAGGATGCTGAGTGACACAGGGACTTACTCTGACAGAAGCGCTGGGTCAGGCTGCCAGCGCCCCCCAGGGTGGAAGGCTAAACCTGAACTGAGACTGGGAGTGGGGGAGCTTCCCCAATCCTTTCCAGCTGACAGGAGCTCCCGGTCTGGAGGAGGATGTCAAGTAGTGAACCCTTGTGTTCCCTGGGTGTCCACAGTGGCACATTTTGCTATGTCCTTGCTACCCCCACAAAGGCCCACCTGCTTGGGAGTCCCAGTCATTTGGAAATGAAAATGCACTTTTGCATTTCAGAGTGTGGCTCCTATGGGAAGGATGTGGAAATGGCAGAATCAAAAAGCATTTTAATTACAAGACACACCCGACCCTGCTGTGCTGATTGAATTCAGAAACCCCATTCTGGGGAGGGAGGTTCAGCACAGAGCTGACTACTCAGCAACAGCACGGAGGTGTGGGCTCCGAAGGTGACGAGAAAGCCACTATGGCTATACTTGCTGCTGAGGGAGAGAGGGGGCCTAGACCACTCATGCTGAGGAACCACGCTGACCAGCGCTTACAGTTAGGAGGGCAGTGTTCCCTTGACTTGGGGTGGGTGACCCTGTGAAGGAGTATTCACCAAGACCTGTAAAGGGCTGAGGTATCAGGAGGAAAACCGCCGGAATGTGCTTTGTCTAAATAGACTTCTGTTCCCAATGGGAACAGTGGGCCTTATTCTGGCCCTCCACTTCAAAGGGGGCAGGGTGGCACCGTGGTCAGGGGGTTAGTGGCTCTGGGTTCCAGTCTCGGCTCTGCTAGAGCTTGCCTGGTGGACTTATCCTCACCATTTTGCCACTTGGAGCTTCAGGCCTCTCATCTGCGAATACGGCATGGACATATCATGTTCTGAGGCCCCCCAGCATTAACGAAACTCTTCTTCCATTGGAGAATTGACGTCATGAATTCTTCCTTCTCAGGTCAGTGGAGCCAGGCGCTTGCTTTCCCAGGCAGCTTCGATCAGGCAGGGGCATGGGTCTTGGGCTCTTCCAATCAGATGCGCCAGCACTAGACTTCACGCTGCGGAGAGCAGTGTGAGGGAGTGCAGAGTGTGGCACCCATTTTCCTAGGAGACACTAGTGGAGAGGGGGGTCACAAGACAAGAGTCCCCTGACAGTGTCCAGGGCCTGAGCTGCTGTGATCTGACACAGTGTGGCTTGGGTGGTTCTGGGCTTCCTCGTTTCCAGGCCATGTGCTACCCCTAGTCCATTTGGTGACTTTGTGCAAATTAGACAATTAGGCACCCCTTCAAGATGCTTTACTGCCCTCTGCTGGAAAATTGTTTGTATACAAATGTACCAATATGTCTAGGGCTGGAATGGCAGCCTCTAAATGTAATGGTGTTGTGCAGTATGCAACCTGGACAACTGATCTTCGTGGCTCTGCCGGCCTGACTTTCTTCTGGCTCTTGTGAAAATTCTGAAAGAGACTTAATTTCCTGTAGTAAATGCCTTTTCTACTTAAGCTAGCTGAAGTGGCTTCCGGTGTTTGACGAAGAACTCTGACTGATATGAATAGGGATGCTGATACATGCCTGCTGGGGTTGAAACCAGATGACTTGTGGAAGCAAGAGTCTCCGAGAAGGCATAAGGCACCTGCGTGACTCAGTGAGTTTGTACTTCATTTATTGTGAGAGGAACATGGGAAAATGATCTAATTCACTCTATCTTCCTTCCTTATTCTGGAAACCTATTTGTTTATTCTTTTGTTTTTGTTGTCAGGGTCAGAGTTCATGGTTAAAGAGGGGAGCCGCAAGGATGAAAATGTGAATGTGCGTTATACATAGTCCAGCAGGGTGGCTTGTAGGGAAAATGGCTTTGCTGGGTCTTGTTCATGCACTGTTGTGTCTCCTATTGTTACAAGGGGAGATGACATCAGCCTATGCACCATTTGTCCGGTGGCTGAGTGTGTGTGTGTGTATGTGTGTGTGAGAGTGTGTGAGTGTGTGTGTGAGTGTGTGTGTGAGTGTGTGTGTGTCTGGCTGCAGATAATGTGATCAGGTTCCAGGTTTTCCAGGGCAAATTTGAGATGTTTTGTTTTTATATATCAGGCCCTTTCTGGACCCATATGTTTTGGTTTAGGCCACGTGGGCACTGCCACTCAAGGTCATAGCAGCCTCTGTCCAGGGTGTGCCAAGAAGAGAAAAGGAGTAGGATCTCCCCAGGGAATCCTCCTTCCATCAACTTATGGAAATGCCTGTCTGTCTCAGTCCTCAGCCTTCAAACCTGAAAGGAGCGAAAGGTGAGTTGCTTGCTTCCTGCATTCCCCATCCCTTTCTGAGCCAGGAAGTGGGATAAGGGAGGGATGGGCGGGAGCTGCGAGGCCGGTAACTGTTCAAAGGTGCAATTTCAAGGCTCCTCTGCCCAGAGAAACCAGGCTTGTGTTGCTGCTGGCAATGTGACAGTGCTTTGCTAAGGGGCCTTTCTTTCCACCTTGAATGAGGAGCAGGGGCGGCAAAGGCCAGGAGAGGGAGCCATTGAGTCACGTTCACATTTAGTGACTCCTTTCAGGTCAGGTTTGGACAGAGGGGAGGACAGACGGAAAGGGTGTCTACATCCGGAGGGGTAGTTGTGTTAGGAAGAGGGACTTAGGAGCAGAGAAAAGGAAGACACGGGGGAATTGGGGAAGGGGGTTCACTGGATACAAACCTCCTCATTCTGGAATTTGTCCCAGGATGTCCCAGGTCCCTGGAGGTCCCTTGGCATGAGTGTTGCCTGGCACTTCCCTCCCGTAGGGCCCCCACCCCCACCGGCTCGTGCTTCCAGCTGGGGGACTAATCCTGATGCCCTAATGAAGTCCCAACTTCGCCCACTCTCAGAGGGGAAAGGCCACGTACAGGGCACCCGGCTGTGCCCTGTTCTGGAAGCGCCCCTGTAGCTGGTTGCCCGTTCTGCAGTGAGCTCAGAGGTCCCTCAGGGAGGAAGAGCTGTCCAGACCCCAGGAAAGGAGGAGTGGGGTCTGTAAAGGGCTCTGTCTTTCAGGAAGGGGCAGACCCTGGGTCAGATAAAGGCTTGAGACGAGGGTCTTACTTCCCGTTGGGTCATTACTATTCTCTTGTTACATGTTTGGGGACTCTAAGTAAGAACCATGGCTTTTCTATGAAGTCCCCTTCTCTGACCCCAACTTGCTGCAGGTGACTGGTTTGGGGAGAAGGGGGCCGGCAGCCCTGGGCCACCAAGCTGAGTTTTGTGAACCTGCCCAGTGCTTCTTTTTCACTCGCCACCCACTCCCTGTGGCATGGTTCTTCTTCCACGGTTGTATGGCGGATATGTATTCACCTTTTCACAAATTAGATGGAGGGAACTGTGGAGACTCTCCTCTCCAGTACCCTTTTTTAAATTTTTTGATACAGGGTATATCGCTCTGTCACCCCAACTAGAGTACAGTGGTGTGATCACAGCTCACTGTAACCTCAAACTCCCAGCCTCAAGCAATCCAATCCTTCCTCCTCAACCTCCGAAAGTGCTGGGATTACAGGGCTGAGCCACGGCGCCCGGTCTCCAGCATTCTTAAGAGGCAGTGCTGAACTCTTGTGCTGACTGAGGGCTCACTCCTTCACGAGGGACCTTGTTCCTCTTTAGGACAACTCCAGATGTTAGGGAGTTCTCTCCTTTTTTTGGGCACCCAGTTGCCTCCTGGAATCTCTCTCCTATTGACTCGGGTTGGCTAAATTTTTGGAGAAAGCTTCCCCTCCCCAACACACCTGTAGAAGTTCCAAGGCCTGTGTGAATGTGTCCCTTAAGCCTTCTTCTCCAGGTAAGCTGCGCGTGTTTCTTTGGCCTGTCCTCGGAGGCCTCATTCTACTTCCTTCACTCCTCTTCCCTCCACTGAAGGCTCCTTTGCTATCAGGAGCTCCCTTAGCACCTTGGAACCCCAGGGGGCAGGTCACACATGGCCAGGCTCCATAGAATTCCCACCTGGCCAGGGCTAGAAGGAGATTTTACTCACAGGAGATCAGGAGCACCCAAGGGTCAGGGCCCACTGGGCCCAGTTCCCTACCCCTTCTCCATCTTCTCCAGTGTCTACCTATGTCACTCAGTGGACACTGACCCCCAGAATGAGGACCACATGATCCTAGAATGGCTGAGCTGAGCAGAATCTTGACGAGCAGCTGGCCTTGCATTTCTTGCACTGGGCTATGCTTACCCTGAGCCCTCAGCCATAGGCTGGGGGCCTCCCAAAGCTGTAGGGTGGCCAAGAAACACTTTGACTTCACTAGAAGATTCTGGGGAAAAGGCAAGTCACTTAACTGGCAAGTTGATCAAAACGATATTTTTATATTAAGACAGATGCGTATATGTTATGTAATAAAATGCAGAAACATGAATTTCAAAGCCAAAACAGGAGACTTCAGAGGTTTACACTACAGATAGGTTCCTTTGGGCTATTTCTTTAGTGTTCTGCCCCCAATTTGCCAACCAGCTGGCCCCCCTCTGCTGAGGGCTGTTTAGGTGGAGAACTTCGAGAAGCTCTGATTACTCCATTTCCTTTATTACTAGAGGTGAGGGAAGTGAGGACCAGAGTGGAGGGGTGATTAGACTGAAGACACACAGCTTGGAGGAGTCCAGATTGGAAACTCAGATCTGTTCTTTTCTCTGTACCAAGAAACGCTGCATAGAAGTTGCCTACTATGGCAAGAAAGGAATCAAAAATAGAAAAGAGGCTCCGGGTTGACCCTTGGTTATCCAGAGATACAATTGGAAGAACAATGTTACCAAGAGTCTGGGCTGTGGGTTGTAAGTAGCGCTGACTCCATTCAATGACAGAAGTATATTCCTTTACCTTAGGTTCTTTTAGGATCTAATGTTCTTTGGGAAAGAGGCTCAGGTGAAGAAGGGAGGAGAAGCCCAACGCCAGCGCCAGGAAGTGAGAGGAAGAAGGCCCAGAGAGCAGTAGGGACAGCCGGAGCCCACTCCGGATGTCAGGCTGGGGAACCGGTAGGACTTCCCTTGCTCACACACCCTGGGGTGCAGCTGCACACGTGTGTGAACACACGCACATACACGCACACCTCACACTCAGGCCCACCGATGCCGCAAAGCTTAAGATCCAACCATGCCTTACAAAGCTGGAATGTAAGAGACTACTGAGAATTGAGTTCTGCCCTCCCGACCATGAAGCACCCCTGGATAACTGAAACGGCAATTGGAAGGGGGATTCAATCTTACCAGGCAAATTAAGCAAGCATAGCTCACTTTTACTCAAAACACTGTCCTTTAAAATATTAAATAAGGGTCAAAGGTTTTGTTTTTCTTTGTAAAGGTGTCTCTGACATTATTTTAAGTTTATGACACCCAACAGTCAAAAACCTTAAGACTGGCTTGTTGCTGTCCTGTGAACTTTCAGAAGTCACATCTCACAGAAGTGCGACTCTCAATATAATTTAATCAAGTCAATTAATACTGTTTAATAAATAGGCCAGAAAATTAGCTGCGAGTTTTTCTCGGCGGGATGTGGCGTGCGACCGAAGTTATGGAAGATTGTCCCTTGAATCACTAAGGCAAACTTTGCTGAGTGTCATTTTACATAGAGCAATCACATAAAAAAAGAGTTATAAATAGAAAAAATTCCAAAGTTCTCCCACAGACAGACAGGGAAATCGAAACATCAAAAAAAAAAAAAAAAAAAAAAAAAATTGAAGCAAAACAAAAACACAAGCACCCCTCCCCCGACAACCCAGTTGCTTCAAGTTCTTGATCATACAGTACTCAACATCTTTGGATATTTTACAATGTACAACTCCAAACTGCAGCCAAGAAAAAACAGAAAGAATTAACCAGTCATCTGAAAAATTGAGTTTATAAGAAGTCATCACCTTTACAAAATAAAAACAAAAGCCCCAACACCACTGGATTCCAATTTATTCATGTTTCCTTTTTTTTTTTTTTTCCTCTCTTTTAAAGTCTGGTTCGGCCCCAATCGCTTGGCTGATGGGGGGGACACGGGCACATTGGCTGGTGGACATGGGCATGCTTCTGGGGCAAGTGTCTGAAACGAAGACAGGAATCTGAGAGGCGGCTACAGGAATCTGAGAGGTGGCTGCCCAGGCAGATGACTTCTGAGAACAGAGGGCGTGTGTAGCAATCCTGCTGGCTGGAGTGGCATCCGGTGGTGCGAAGAATCAGGGGGTCTCTTCCGGAGAGCTGTGAGAGGGACAGAGTCTGTGCTCTTCTCTGGCCTTTTTGTTTGTTGTGTGTTTGCTCAGGAAAAAGCCAAGGCGACGGGAAGAGCTGAAGTCTCTTTGTGCCCACAGCACAGAGATTGGGGACTCCAGCCCTGGGCCCTCCCTGGGGATGAGCCCTCCTCCTCTCTGGGCTGCTAAGAAACCAAAGCAAACTCGGCAAGAAAAGAGAGGGGAGGGAAGGGGAGAGAAGCTCAGGAAGGCACGGGGCCAGCAGAGCCTTCCTTTTCAGGACCTGCTGAAAACTCAAGAACCAGGAGAACATGTGACAGCTCTAACTCACAGAGCCCTTCAAACCTCAGAGGCCTCCACTTCTCTGCACTGAGCCCTTTTGTTAAAAAAGGGAGCCAAATACTCCCACTTCACCCCCAGAGGGAGGAGGAAGGGGTTGAGGGGGGTTCTCACACAGCAAACGGGACCATCGTTAGCAATGCCAAGGCCCTGAGGAACCCACAACTCAAAAAGCAAACAGATAAACCCTAGAAAACCAGGTATGTATTTTGTCTGTTTTCAGGAATCAGGGTGAGGGGAAACAGTTGCCAGGTGTTAAGAGGTGGCCCCCATCTCTTCGATGTTGGCCCTGAGAGCCCCAAGACACTGCACAGCCTTGGAAGGGGCATTGGAGATGGGGTAAACACTAAATAGTGCCACCAGGGGTCCAGACACGAACTCTTGCAGGGAAGGTAAGGTAGCATTCGGAGTTCGCAGACCTGCCTGTGGGCTTTGGTGAAGTTCGGAAGCTCCCCTGACCCCCGATCTCTGTCTAGTCTGGCCATATTTCTCACCTATGCTAATATGCTAATATAGAGCTGGATGTAATAAAACTAAGTCCAGAAAGATAAACTGTTTCCCCATGGACTTGGGGAGTACAAAGCTCCTACCTTCTCTGGGATTCTCTGGGGGGATAGGTGTGTATGTGTTTAGAGGTGGAGGGAGGAAACCTAAGTTACCAGCCCCTTCTATAGCCGGGTGACACTGAGCTACAGAGGGCTGACCTGTCAAGGTCACAGGACAGGTAAGGGCAAAAACGGCCCTGGCCTCCCAGAGCCTGATTCCTGACTGGTTCCAGGGGGCCTCCCTGCCAACAGAGCATTTCATTCTATGTGGCAGGTGGGTAGTTCTCAAAAAGACCCCGGGGCCACTGGAGACTGGAAAACGAGCCCTCAGAGGAGTGTTGGCAGAAACTCTGCCACAGGGGGTGGGGCTTAACCAAGGTGCATGCCCAGCCCCTACCTCCTCCTGCTCCATCGGGCTGGGCCCCAGGCCAACCACCGCCTGACCCCTCGTAACCCACCCAGCTCCTAAGTGCCCCTGGGCATCCAGTTCTGTGTGGCTTGGGCCGGTGCAAATTTCTACATGAGAGCCAGAGAGACAGCCAGGGAGGGAGGCCCGGGCTCCTGGTCTTTTGGGAAGAGATGCCCATCTTAGAACAGCAAAAGGAGGCAGCTGCTTTAGGAGCCTGGGAAAATGCCATCACTGATAGTATTATTATTTTTTTTCCATTTTCCCTTTGTGTTTTTAAAATGAAAAGTTCAGATCCATGGGGTGGGGAAGAGCGGGCCTGGAGGGAGAAGGACTGGAGGGCTGGTGGGCTGGAGTCGACAGTGACCAGCCTAGTTGTTGGCTTCGGACATGGAGGCCACGTGGTTGAGGCCGGCGAGCCCAGGGAGGCCGGCCAGGCCCGCGGCCCACGGGTCGGGCAGCGGGAAGTAGGGCCGCGCGGCTGCCACGTTCTCGGCCAGCGCGAAGGCCAGGAGGCCCCCCGCGTTCCTCTCAGCCTCCAGCTGCGCGCGCCCGAACAGCTTCATCTGCGTCTCCTCGAACTGCCGCTCCAGCTCCTGCAGGCTCAGGGCGCCCTTGGGCGCTGCCAGGAAGTGCTTGGCGGGGCTGGGGCCCGGGAGGCACACGGCTGCGCCGCCCAGGTGGCCGCCCACTTCGCCCAGAGCCGGAGGCATCACGAAGGCCGCCTTGTCGGGGGCCGGGCCACCCGGCCCGAAGAGCAGGCTGGCGGCCCTCCACGCAGCGGGCTTGCGGCCGCGTCGGGGCCGCGCCATGCGGCAGCTCTGGCGCTTGATGTGGCGGTGCAGGTGGTCGGAGCGCGTGAAGCTCTTGTAGCAGAACTCGCACTGGTAGGGCCGCACTCCCGTGTGGATGCGCATGTGGTTCTTGAGGTCGTAGTTGTGCACAAACTTGGCGTTGCAGTGGATGCACAGGTAGGGCCGCTCCCCCGTGTGCTTCCGCATGTGGATTTTCAGCTTGTCCTGCCTGCAATGCAGAGACTGGCGGTCAGTTCCGCAGGGAACACCAGGAGCCATTCCTAACCTTCTGCTCCCCTTTCCTCCAGAACCAGCCGAGGCTCCCTACTGCCATGGAGTCAAACCCCAGAAATAGGTCCCATGCTAGATCTACCCTCAACTGCTGCCCCACCTTAGACAGGTATGGTTACTCACCTGGATTAAAGGGATGTGGAAAAAGCAGTGTCTGGAAAGTCCTACTCCCCTAAACTCCTTTTATATCCGAGCTCAGAGTCATGAAACTCCCACTCTATTAGGGGTTTATCTCACATACTGGGAAGACACTTCGCCAGAAGTCAGGGCTCTGACCTTAGTCCTCGGATAGTGCAGCGACTTCTGCTGATACTGGATTGCACTTTAATCTCACACCCACTCTCTCCAGGCAACCATATGCTTTCCCTCCAGTTCATCTATATGCTTTGGCCCAAAGTCCCTGGTCCCATCCCAGCCCCCGGGCTGTTGAGATCTGTCTGTGTTTGGCACTAATCTGGGAGGCTATAGAAGCTTGGGCACACCTTGTTCAAACCTCCTGCATGGTGGTTTCTTATCCTAAGCCTTGGGCTCTCCTCTTTGTCTGTAGACAATTTCAGGGTTTACAAAAGAGCCAGGTGCGAGAAGAATGCAGCCTAATCTAGGGCAAACTTTTCGGGGTTTAAGTGGTATTATTCACAGGTAAGGTATGGTGTAGGGTGGGGCGCCTGTGACTTTTGGGGGTCTGGGAGCCTCTGCGCCAGCTGCAGACCCACCACCAACTTGGTGGTGACCTCAGGCAAGTTACTTAGCCTCACTGCCCAGAGCTGAACCTGGTGCCAGAGATCAATTCTCATTGTCCAGGGCTGATGGAAAGAACCGGATCCTGTGTGAGCTAGATTCCACATACCTCCTGGTGGCCTTGACAGGAAAACTGACATCAGGGGGTTGTTTTCATAAAGACTGAGCATTGGGTAAACCAGCTTAAGCTGGCTGAGGTACAGGCAGCTGGGCTGCAAGAATTCCTCTTGGGATAATTCGCAGCCTTCCCCAGTGGGGCCATACGGGCCAGGAAGCTCTGTGTCTAGTCTCCTACCTCCTCCCTGAAGGTGTGGCTTGTGTGGAGCATCTGCCTATAATTTCAGACTCTGCTCTGAGGTTAGAGCAGATGTGGAGTCCAGGTGTCCTCCCTAAGATGGCCAGATTTAAACCCTGTTTCACATAATCCCACAACATCAGGGGCAGGTCCTAGGCTCCTGGTGTCCCCTGGCCACTAGAGGTCTCACCAGCTCTCATTTTCAAAATGGTTCTCCAGGGGCAGAGCAGGAGAGAAAAGGACATTCCCGTGAACACTGGCAGGCACTGTGGGAGGAGGGTCAGAGAGGATAGACCGTCCTCCCACCTGTGCTCACAGGAAAGCTGGAGAGCCCCTGGCACGGGGGAAGGGAAGTGGGGTCACCCTCCTCCCTTCCACATCCCACTGCTCCTGCCTCTTCTCAAACCCACCAGCCACCCCAGGCTACATGGTACTCTGCTGTGATATCCCACCCCCTACCAGCATGCTGTGGTCTCTGTAACCCAGATTTCACCTAGATGATTGGATTTTTGAGGAGGAAGGGACCTCAGAGACCATTTAGGCCAGTGGGTATCAAACTTAAGGATGCATTCGAACCATAATCAGGACTCAATAAAACAGTGCTGGGCCCTACTCCTAGAGATTCTGATCAGTAGGTCTGGGATGGGGGAGAGGGACAAAGAATTTGCATTTCTAACCAGGTGCCACATGCTGGTGGTGGTGGTGGTCCGCGGACCCCATACTGAGAACCACTGGTCCAGGCAAAGCCTCCACTATGTAGGTGGGCAAACAGGCCCAGCTGGGGAACTTGCCAAGCTCACCCAGAGGGTCATGGCAGGCCCGGGAGTCAAGGCCTCTTTTCTCATCACAGCACTGTGACGGTGAAAATGGAAGTGTCAGGTGCCTGTACCCCTGGAGTGATGTAACTTCCCAGTCCTGAGGGGTATGTCTTGGGCCTCCACAAATTCCCCCAGGCTCTGGCAGAAACACTGATGCTAGGTGGTTGGTTGGGCTCCCTCACCAGGCCTAGCAGAGGGCTCAGCTCAGAATCAGCTAAGCGGGCTGTAAATGCATCATCTTATTACTCCTCACCACAGCCTAGGAGGTAGGTTTTTTTATTTTTATTTTTATTTTTTTGAGACAGAGTCTCGCTCTGTCACCCAGGCTGGAGTGCAGTGGCACAATCTCGGCTCACCACAACCTCTGCTTCTCAGGTTCAAATGATTCTCCTGCCTCAGCCTCTTGAATAACTGGGATTATAGGCACACATCACCATGCCCGGCTAAGTTTTGTATTTTTTAAAGTAGAAACGGGGCTTCATCGTCTTGGTCAGGCTGGTCTCAAACTCCTGACCTTGTGATCTGACCACCTCGGCCTCCCAAAGTGCTGGGATTACAGGCATGAGCCACCATGCCCGGCTGAGGTAGGTTTTTGTTTTTTTGAGATGGAGTCTCGTTCTGTCACCCAGGCTGGCTTGAGTGTAGTAGTGCGATCTTAGCTCATTGCAAGCTCTGCATCCCAGGTTCATGCCATTCTCCTTCCTCAACCCCCCGAGTAGCTGGGACTATAGGCACCCACCACCACGCCTGGCTAATTTTTTTTTGTATTTTTAACAGAGACAGGGTTTCACTGTGTTAGCCAGGATGGTCTTGATCTCCTGACCTCGTGATCCGCCTGCCTCAGCCTCCCAAAGTGCTGGGATTACAGGCGTGAGCCACTGTGCCCGGCCAGGTAGGTATTTTTTTAAGTCACTATTACACATAATTAGTAGTACGAACCCTTAGGTCACTCTCAAACAATGGACAATATAAGTGGTAAATCTTCAAATGTCTTCCAAACTTCTCATTAGTGTATCTAAAGTAAGTCCCATTTTTGTGGCAATTGGTCCGAGTATGTAAGAAGTGCTGAGAAGGTGCCTACAATATCCTTTTATTGAACACCTGCTTTGGGCAGGTAAATACATGACTTCATTGACCCTGGGAGTTCATTATTCAGAGGCAAGGTATGGTGTAGAGATAGGGCCCCTCCAGGAGTCTGGGAGTCCCTGTTGTAGCTCCAGACCCGCCACCAACTTTTTGGGTGGCTTTAGGCAAGTTATTTAACCTCTTTGTGCAGAGCTAAACCTAGGACCAGACATCACTTCCCATTGTCCAGGGCAGATGGAGGGAATCTGGGTTTGCGTGAGCTAGATTCAACACATTTGGTGTACTTTCCTCACTTGGACACAGGCAGAAAGGAGGCTCAAAGAAGTTAAGAGCTTCCCAAAGGTATCCAGCTGGTGAGGGGCAAAGGAACCTGAGGGGCTACCTGGCTGTGGTTTGTTTGTAAGCTATTCTGGGGATGAGGAAGGATGGATTTTCACACCTGGGACTCCCAACCTGAGGCCTACAAGGACTGCTGCAGAAAGGGCAGACCAGAACAATCAAGAGAGGGTACCAGTAGCTAGCCAGCTTTCTGCCGCTGTGGCCAGAAGACTAGGGTATGCCAGTGGGAGGAACTCAGCCCTGGGCAGGAGCTTTCCCTAACGGAGACATTTGTGGGAATGGGGGCAAGGGGCGGGAAGAGTAGGCAAAGCTCATGAGAAGCCAGTTCTGGAAAAAACTCCAGAGGATCATCTAGTTTACCAGGCACACTTTACCACATTCTGATTCATGGTCTGAGTCAGTGGGCCCAGTAAGCTACACTATTAGCAGTACATGTCTCAGGACCTTGAAAACACTGATCTAATTACTTCCAAGATAAGGAAAGCAAGGACCAAAGAGGGAATGGTGTCCTAGGGCCACACAGCCTCCTTCTTTACACTGACCTTTCCTGTGGATACTAAGACATGTGCATTGGAGCTGGAGGTGGTGCCGGGTACGCTCCAAGAACTGGACCAGTTCCCTTCCCTGGTCTGGGCCTCAGTTTCCTGATCTCTGAAATGGGGGTTGGGCTGCATCCTTGGGGCCTCTAAGTGCTCCATGAGTGTTTGCATCTGGGTAATGGGCTTCTACCAAATCTCTTTCTGGAGTCTGTTTGGCTGGCTGGCTTCCTTGCCCCTTCACATATTCAATCTACCTGTGGAAGCAGCGTGAATTTAAGCTGGAATATGTTCTAGCTGGAATCTCAGGAGCTGAGCTCTTAGTTACTTCTCTGTAGCAATGGAGGTCTGGTGGTTCCACTTAAAATTTCCCAAGGCCCCCTTGTCCAATGGCCTGTGTGCTCACTTACCCCTCAGCATGGCTTTCTGGGGTCTTTACAAGCTCACTGCCATCTCCTCTGCCAGCTTCCTGCCTGCCCCCCATGGTATACTGTCCCACGCTCTGGGCATCCCTGCATCTTTGAACACCTGCAGGTATGAACTGGACTGCTGGTTCCCCAGTGCACAGCCCACCACATTACTGGGTGGATGCCTGGTAAACCCTGGCTCCTTCCCCGTGTGTGCATGTCTTGTGCTTGGACACTGATGTTCCATCCTTAGGGCCCTCCCAGAAGGTCAAGCCCAGAGCCAGGGTGCCCCTTCCTCCCAGCCGTCCTCCTTCCAGCTCTCCTCCTCCCAGCACTCCTCCCTGCATGTGGCATGGAGGGTTCTGGTACCTGCTTTGATGAGAACCTGTGGGATGCTCTTTCATACTCTGCACAACACACAACAATGAATGTAGATAGAGGGGAGGCTTACTGCATGTTTGGTGACTGACAAGAGCGGCCAATTTCAGAATTCCCTGACTACAAATCCGACATTCTCCCCTCTGGCCCTGGTCCCCTTGTCTGCCATCTCATTCCATCTCTCTGCATCAGGGACAGCCAAGGACATATGCACCCAAGCCTTGGTCTACACGCCCGCTTCCAGCCTGGAGAGCTCATCGTCGGGAAAGTCGTGTGAGTCCTCATGAGCTCATTCCCAGAATCAAAGAAAAGGGCTGCGGGGCCTTGGCCTGAGGTCTGTGGCCTCCAGAAAGGCTCCCAATCAGGATAATGCTTTCCCAGCAGCCTCCACCCGGACTTCTTGTAACCCGATGGTTTGAGACACACTCTTCCTGCTACCACTGCTAATGCCATTACATTATCTTAATAGGGTTCCCAGAGCTGCCAGGAGTGGGAGGACTACAAACAGAGGGAAAATAAAAGCTAGGCTGCTGGCTCGTCTGGAGAGCAGTCAGCTGTGGGGGCACAGGGGTGGTCAGCATTCGGCTGGCACAGGAAGAGGCGGGTGGAGACTAAAAGGTGCAGCCTTCAGGGTTCAGCGGGAACCAGAAAGCATGCCTTGTCAGAGAGTGACTGCGGTGCAGAGGTCGTCCATCCCCGCCCAGGACGGTGTGCCCTCCATGGGACCTCTGCTGTCTTTGGGCCAGTCTATTCTCATTTTGCAGTTTTTCGCCTCCACTACTGTCCCCATCAGGCATGGCTGGGACACCTCTGGGAGCCAGGCTGTGAGAGGATGCAGGGGCTCCAGGAGATAGACCCGCCAGCCATGCTGTCTGGGAGCTCCTAACAGAAGGGCTGGGGGCGGCAGGAGTCTCTATGGTCTGCAATCAAGGACCCATGTGGTGGGAATTAAGAGGCGGAAGATGCAGAGGCTTTCACAGGGCCCAGGGCCAGGCCCAGTTGGCAGTGATGGCTGCAGATGGGGCAAAAAGGTGTGTGTGGGGCCACCTGGGATGTCCATGGGCAGGGAAAATACCCACCAAGCACAGCAGTGTCCCTATGCATGAAGAACAAATGCTTTATCTTCCTGAGATCACATGCTCCCTGTTCTTCTAGGCCCGTCCTAGGCATCACCTCTGGCTGAACCCTGCTGTCCTAACCTTTGGCTCCTGGCTTCCAGACTTTCTGGGAAGAGAAGGGAAAGGACCCCTGACAAAGAGGATCTGAGGTAATCTTGGTCCAGACTGCCTCTGCCCTATGACCTGGAGCTGTTTCTATGTCCCAAGTCAGACCTGAAAGGGACAGGAGGAGCTGCCTCTCTGGCCAGCACAGGCACGAGCCTTTCCCAGGAGGAAAACGCTGTCTTTGAACTAAACAGAGGGAATGCATAGGCAGAGGGAGCCCAAGTGGTTATGGGGTGCCAAGAGCTAGGAAGGGACAGTGTGGGGCCGAAGAAATAGTTTTGTTGATGTCTTTGAGGCCCTGCCTAGGGAGATTTCATATTTGCAACAGATCAGTGGTGGGACACCTGGTGGGACTGGCTGAAATCTAGAGCTGCCTCAGAGGTGAGGTTCCTGACACCAAAGAACAGACAATACCATTGTGGTGCAGCCTCTGTCCCTCCTCTCTAGACCCACAGAATGACAGCAGCAGGCAGGGTCTTAGGGGTGGAGGGGCTCTGCTGGAAGGATTCCCATGTCCTCCACCTTGGTTGTGGCTGCTGAGGTCATTAGGAGTACATCCCCGTGGGGTGTGGACATTCTGGGAGCTGGCATCTGGGAGGCTTTGACTCAGAGCCTGGGCTGAAGGGCTACCACGCAGGGCAGGAGCAGGCCTCTCCAGCACCCCACGTGGCGGGGCGGCGGGGGCGGTGTCACAGGACCCCGAGCTCTCCCCAGCATCAAGGAGGGAGGAGACGGGGCTTTGCCAGGGCAGAAGCTCAGCTGTGATGAAGGAAAGACTTGGGTTCCAGAAGGAGAAATCATGTCCGATAGGAGGACTTGAGGGCAGCATGTCTGGGTCCTTGCTGTGGGGACAAGAGGGACACGACAGGGCCCAGTCTCAGGAAGTGGGGTGGCCCTGGAAGGGAGTCTGGGAATTCTACATCAATGAGGCAGCCATCGCTGCTTTAAGTGGCTGCTGAAGAGCCTCCGGATGGAAGGGGCAGGTGTTAGGAATCGCATCGGGGAATTCAGCCTAAAAGCAGGTCCTGGTGGGAAGGGTGCAGGGAGCCTTGGCCGCGGGGGGAGTTACAGGAAAACCTCAACCTGAACAGACCACTCTTGGGGCTCTTCAAGCACGGAAAAGAATCCTTGCCGGGCAGTTCCAGAGATGAGGTGAGAAGCAAAGGCCCAGTGATTCTGAAGAATGTGAGGGGGAGGAGAGTGGGGAGTGTTCCACCAGGACAGCCACAGCCCACAGTGAGCAATAAAGGCTCTGAAGTGAGGCAGGCTGGAGCCATCTCCTCCACCCCGCCTGCCCCCAGCTCGGGGTTTCTCTCCTCCTGGGAAGAGAGGGACCCAAGAGCTTGTCTGATCTTTTTCGGGAGAGTCAGAGCCCGGTGGGAACAAGCGGCGGGGGTGCTGGGGGGCTGGAATGCAGCGGCTTCAGCTGGAGACAGGCCTGGGGCCAGATGGCCATCATTCTGGAGCAGGAGTAACCCAAGGCCAGATGGCTGGATGACCAGAGCTGCCCCACTGCCTATCTGGCCAGGAGTGGGGACTGCAGACAGAGAGGCCACCCCAAGTGACCATCAGGAATGTGCTGGGAGGGAGGAACCTGGAATGTCACCCTCCTATACAACACAGCACTGCTCCCCAAGCCAGGAGGCCCCACTCCCAGAGAATGTCCCAGGGTTCAGAGGGTGAGAAGTCTGTCTGCAGTGACTATGCAAGGTTAAAACCTTCCCTTAAAACAGGGTGCACAGACTGGCCAGACCTGGCGTGGACTTCACAGAAGGCTGTGCGTGGGGAAGGCCCAGAGAAAAGGGAGTGGGGAAGGAAGGGAGATGGGGGCTCAGGGTGCCAGCGGGGCCACCATGCGATGTCCTGAGACACAGATCCTTTTGGAATTGGAGTCACTAGCCTTGGTATCCCCTGAGGGGAGAGGTGCTCCTGTTAGCCATCTGCCAAGGGGACAGGCATGGGCAGTGAGGGAGGTGGAGCCTGTGTTGGCAGGACAGAGCACTCCAGGCTGATAACATGGCTAGCTTTCCTGATCTGGCCTGTGAAGAGCTTCCTGGCATCCTTAAAGTCATATACAGGGGCTGGGACTCTCGGGCTGAACTCAGGCCCCCTGTGAAGATGGGTGAGCTGTACTTGAATCTGGCTTTCACATGGTGTGCTGGCTTATCTCCCTTGGTCATTCCTGTGCTTTTGCCAAGCCCTGTTCAGGTGTTCTGCCTGGTTCTGTGGGGCTAAGGTGAATTCAGGAGGAGGCAGGGGGCAGCATTACCCGTGGTGGCATTGGGGTGACAGGGCTGTCACTGAGGGACATCCAAGAGGAGGAGAATCTCAGGAACTTTAGGTCCTTCTGCTCTGGGGAGTAACAGGAGCAGAGAATCCTGCCGTCAGCATTGCTGGGTGGCTGGCTTAGCTCACTGCTAAGGGCAAGGGGACACATCTTGGGTCTGTGAGGCCCTGCCCCTTTGCTCCTGCAGATTCTCCCTTCACTGTCACTGGAAGCATCTGGGACAGATGCTGTCTGGGGTTCCCCTCACAGAAGCAGCTGTGAGCAGGACCCCAAGGCCACCTTGGAAATAGTCTCATGACTTTAGAGGACTCATCTTTTTTTTTTTTTTCCTGGAAAACCATGGTCCCTGATTTGATATCCAGTCTCATTCACAACCTTGCACTGTGTCCTCAGGCCAAAGCTTTGGGCCTACTGAGGAAAATCAAAAGAATGAGCTGTCAGCAATTCCCAAAGACACATCTCCAAGAGGAAGTGGGGCAGCAGCGCCACTGGCGTAAGTGTGGGGCTCTCAAGGTGAGTTCTTTGAGAGGGACAGTGGCAGTGTGGGGAAGGGACCTAGTCTAGTAAGTCATGGTCCCAGGGCAGGCATCGCCAGGCTCTGTACACATAGGATACACCGAAACAACCAAACCCTGATGCCAGGCCACCCACCAGAGCCCTCCCCACCTGTGGACATGGCTGAGAAGATCAGCCTCGCACCAGGAACCACAGATAGCACCAACGGGCCATATTTTCCAAAAGTGAGGCCTATCTAAAGCTGGCAGCGGGCAGATCTGACCCCACATCAACCCGCCAATCAGTTTTGACTGCGAAAATTGCTGTACAGAGTAGGCATATAACATACGTTTGCTGAAAGGGACGGAGTCTATGAAAGATGAAAGGTTTATAATGTATTGATTTCAAATTTCAAGTTTTATAACAGCATAAAGTTGCCCCCCTTCCTCAAATGGAAAGGCAAATAGGAGAACATAAAAAGAGGCCCAGCCTTTAGGTCTGACCCCAAAATGACTGAAAGAACCTACAAGCATCTCTGCAGTCTACTGGTCACAGACTTTGCTGTTACACAGAGACTGGGATTCCAGTCCCAGCTCTGCTATTTTCCAGCTGCACAGGTCAGCTAGCCACTGGGAGATGTGTCGTAAACAAAGCCAACCATGTCTCCCCATCTTTCCAGGGCCTGGCTGTGGCAAGAGTGTATTTAAGGTGCCTAGGATGGCCCCTGGCATGCAGAGCAGGCTTAATAAAGGTGAGTGGCTGCTTCTCCAAATCAAACGAAGGGGTGGCACTCCATCCGGGGAGTGCCATCCATTCAAACTGGGTTCCACAAGTTTATGGCTGGAAGGAGAAGAGGAAGCCAAGCAACCAAGGTGCTTGAGGCGCCCCACTTCCCTCCCAGCCAGAACAGCCCGCTCTTACCTGCTCTATGTCATGGGCTTCCACCTAATATTTTATCTGAGAAAATACTGCAGCCCCTTAAAAAGGGTTTGAAAGTCACAGCACCAGGTGATGCTTAGCACCCCTGCTAGCCGCAAGCCTGCATGTGTCTGGGATCCATCTGGGTCTCTGTCTCCATCCCCAGCCTCTCTGCCCAACTCTGCTGTCCCCATGGCCTCTGGCCCCGTCCCCCGCACCCGAGGGCTGCCATGCGCACCTGGTGAAGCGGACCTCGCAGATGGTGCACATGTATGGCTTCTCCCCGGTATGGGTCCTCATGTGCCGCGGCAGCTTCCCGGCCCCCATGATGACTTTGTGGCAGATGGGGCACTGCTGAGAGGCCTTGGGCTTCAGCTTGCGCTCTTCCACCAGGGGCCAGGGTGGGAAGAGGCCTCCCAGGTGGGTGGCACTCAGGAAGTTGAGATAGGCACCGTAGTCGTTCTCCGCCTTGATGGGTCCCAGAGGGCCCCCCGGCAGGTCAGGGAACATGTCCTTGAAGAAGTCATTAGGGAAGGGTGGCGGTGGGGGTGGGGGCAGCTCGTCCTTCTCCTCCTCCTTGATCTTCCGATTCTTGATGACCAGATCCAGTGGCCCACTGTCCATGGGCTGCTCAGGCAGCTGGGCAAAGGCACCAAAGTCCCCTGGCCAGAGGTGTGGGAAGAAGTCCGGGGCGAATGGAGACAAGGAGGGTCTCCTGTCGGGGATGTTGGCCTTGGGGTACAGGTTCTCCCTCAGCAGAGATTCGATGGAAAAGTCCCGGATCACCCCCAGATGGCCAGGACTGCCAGCCTGAAAGGAGTCAGGGAAGTCCCTGGGGGTGTCTGAATAGGCCTTCTCTGTGAGATGGTCCGTCTTGGAAGGGCTTTGGTGGCAGCTGATGTCCTGGGGGTCAGGCAAGTTTTCTTGGTCAGCAAAGTCCTCCGTGTCATCATCGTCATCCTCCTCTTCCTCCTCCTCCTCCTCTTCTTCATCCTCCTCATCATCATCATCTTCGTCATCATCGTCATCCTCCTTGTCGTCCTCCTCCCCTCCATCCCCCCCAGGCTCCATGATCTCCAGGCACACGTTCACAATGCACTGGATCTCCAGCATCCTGGCTGCATTGAGGATGTGCTTGACGTTGCCGGCAGTGATGGTGAGTGTGGAGGTGTAGGCGAACTCCAGGATAGCGGCCAGAGCCTCAGGCTGGACAAAGTCGATCTCGTAGACGTAGGGCTGGCTGGCTAGGGTGCCAGCTGTGAAGAGCTTCTTGAAGTACTTGCTGCAGGCAGCCAGGACAGAGCGGTGGGTCCGATACTCCTGCTCCTGCACCACCAGGAGCACGTCACACAGCAGGCCATCGTGCCGCTGCTCATTGAGGCTGCACAGGACCTCACTGCTGTGGTTGGGGAAGGGAATGCCAATGAGCTCATCAATGTCATTGGCCATGTTCTCAGCCAGAGCCCTGCAGAGACACACAGAGAAGACTGGGTTAGTGAGCGTGGCCCCAGGAGGGGTCTCAGCTCTAGGACTCTGAGTCACTTTCTTGGCATAAGGGCTCCCTTTCCACTGCGAGGCCAGTCCTCCTACCTCTCAGCTTTGCCAAATCTCACCTGCAATTCACAGCCTGGCTTACAGGCTGGGGCTTTTCTCTGGACCCCTAAGACTCTTGGAGTTAGGCTTCTCACTGGGCAGCTGGTGTCAGCTACTCACTAAAGGCTGCAAGGCTTCTCTCAGGCTTGGTTTTACTGATTTCCACTTTGCCAACATGCAGTTGCAGAATACAACTGCAGGATGAAAAGCCACATGAACCCAGCTGTTGCCTTGGCTACAGGAACAGGACCCACCTCTGTGGGGCAAGGACCGCAGTGCTTCTGCTGAGAAGATGCTCTGATTTGTCTCACAAATCCTCTGACTCTGTAACAGACTTACACTTTGCACTGGCTACTAGGAAGCTTAAAACAAATTTCGTGGCCCATTTTCAGCAAGTGAATGGGGGCTCTGTGGTATGTTTTGCTTCCTGACCTTACTCGTTCATTGTAGTTGAAGTTTCCTTCCATTTGTAAATCTTGATCTTTTTTTAAAAAAAACACTAACTTCCTATATGTGTATATCTGAGAGAGATTTCACCTATATTTAAATTCAATACAAATATAAATGCAATATTCAATATAAATATAATGCAATATAAATATAAATTCTAGTACATTGTTAGTTAATTTTTCATGTCTATATTCTGTTAGCCTCATGAAAATATCAACCCCTGTGGTGAGAAGCATCTTCTGAGACACCTTATCATTATATATGTTATATGTAAAGTATGGCCAGTGGCAGCCACCAGGAGAAAGCAGGGCATGACAGAGGACAACTGGCATCCCTTCCTTTAGGAAGCACAGCTCACAGCCTAGGTGAACATAGTCAACTGGGACAAAATGCGGCATCTGCCAGGGAAGGTAGGGGCATCCAAGGAGAGAAAACATTCATGGGTTGTTAGTTTCTGTTTCTGATTGGGCCAGTAAAGCCCCTTCCTCATCCCTCTTTTCCGCTTATCACTAGAGACAGAAACTAAAAACTATGGCTTCAGGCTGCTAAAAGCCTAAAACAAAACAACAAAACAGAACAACAACAACAATAAAATAAGGTGGGTCGGACAAGCTTGACAGGGCTCTTCCACTTACAGCAAAGCTTCAACATGGCCCATCTAGATAAATCCTAGCAAAGCCCTGGCCCTTATCTTGGTACAAATAAAGTGGGGAGAAAACAAAAAGGAAAACAAATCCTAAAGCCCCATGCCCCAGTGGGAAGAGCTCTGGAGATCCTTACGCATTTATCTTCTGGATGTTTCTGCCCTGGGAAGGCAGAGGCAGTGGGAGGGGAGGAGTGAGAAGTGCCGGCTCATAAAGTGTGAGTGTGACCTGGAGGCACTGGGGAGGTGGCAGGCATGGAGGATGCTGGGTGCCCCTCCCCTGCCCTCACCTTCTCCTCTACCACGGGGCAGCCCAGGTCTTCCCTAAGCAATTTCACAGGCCAGGTGCTCAGGAGGCTTCCCAGAGCTAAGGCCTCACTGCTTTCCTACCTTCTCATCTTTAAAAGGGCCAGAGACCCTGGCAGTCCATTCATTCATTCTCTAAATATTATTGGGTAGTCTCCCCATGCCAGGCTCTGTACTGGACTCTGGGGATGCACAGAGAACAAATCAAGAAGGCCTTTGCTCTAACAGAGCTTAGAGGGATATAACAACTGTGATAAAAATGTACAGCAAGATTCACCAAACAGAGTATACAGATGCAGATGAGCCATCTTATCTGAAAAGATGTTCAATATCATGAGTGATTAGGGAAATTCAAATTAAAACTATCATAAGATATCACTACATACATAGGATAGTGGCTAAAATAAAAAAATACTGACAACACCAAATGCTGGTGAGGATGTGGAGAAAAGGATCACTCATATATTGCTGGTGGGAAGGTAGAATGGTACAGCTATTCTAGAAAATGATTTGGCAGATCTTAAAAAACTAAATATGCAACTGCCATATGACCCAGCAATTGAATTATTGAGCATATACCCCAGAGAAATGAAATCTTATGTCTACAAAAAACTCACACACAAATGTTCATGGCCACTTTATGCATGATAGTGAGTAACTGGAAATAACCTAGACATCCTTCAAAGGTGTGTGGCTAAACATCGTGGTATGTCCATGCCATGGAATACTATTCAGCAATAAAAAGGAATCAATTCTCAATATGTACAACAGCCTTGATGAATCTCCAGGGAGTTACGCTGAGTGAAAAAAGCCAATCCCAATGGGTTAGATATGGCATGATTCCATTTCTATAACATTCTTGAGATAATAAAGTTACAGAAATGGAGAACAGATGAGGGTTGCCAGGGACTAAGGAGGTGGTGGTGGTGGTGGGAGGGAAGTGGGTGTGGCTACAAAAGGGCAACAAGAGAGATACTTGTGGTGATGGAAATGCTCTGTGTATTGATTCTATCGGTGTTCATATCCTGGTTGATATTGTACTATGGTTTTGCAAGATGTTACCATTGGAGAAAACTGCATAAAGGGTACATGAGATGTCTCTGTGTCATCTCTTACAACTGTAGCTGAAATAAGTATCTCAAAAGAAAAAGTTGAAGAAAAGCAAATGACAGGAAACAACCTAAAGCCACTAATCAATCTCCTCGCTTCTCTCCATCTCTCATCCAGCTATCTACCACAGAGCTGTAAGGGAGGAGAGGAGGGGAGCGCTTTACCCAGGGTCAACAGGGAAGGCTTCCTTGAGGAAGTATCATTTGAGCAGAGACCCAGAAGAGGAGAAGGATCCAGCATGGGAGGATGTGGAGAACAGTGTACCAGGCTGTGGGAACAGTGGCACAAAGTGGGCAGCCCCACCAAGCTGCCCTTGGTCTGAAGGGCCAGGTTCTGTTCTGAGTGACCCCGTTGAACATGGTTCTTGTCTGTTGACAAACCATTCCACTTCTGCATTTCTCTGGGGGCTCAGATGCACCATATCCACTCAGATCCCTTGAGGGCCTGTGTAGAATTAGCTGATGGACACCCCTCCTTCTCTCTGACCAGGGAGGGTGTCCCCAGGCTGAGGCTTCAATGGGCTGTGCTGCAGAGAGAGCTCTGAGGCCACCTCCTACATCCAGAGGAGGAGAGAAGCTCCTAGTGACTTCCTCCTTTCCCTGGCTCCCCACTGTAGTGGTGGGCACCCAAGGGAATGCAGAGGACTTAGGAAACCATGGCTGCCTGCGTGGCTGCAGGCCGGCGGGCTCCTTTGGGGCTGCCATGCCCCAAGGGGGCTGCCTTTGGGCAGCTGGGCTGGGGGCCAGCAAGCAGCCCCTGGAGGCCTGGATCAGAGGGGAGGCCTCAAGTCTGAGCTACATTTAGTTTTGGATGCTCGAGTCAGGTGTGGTATGAGCATCTGTGCAATGAGCAAGGGGAACCCATCAGATACCTGTCCCACATCCTTGGCCCCAAGCTCTTTGCTTCAGATACTCAGGACCCATGAAATGAACTGGGAGGATAGGGCAGGCCAAGCCAGCACCTTCTGTCTTCAGGTCAAATCCTCTCCCTAAACAGCAGGTTTCCCAAAGAGAAGTCAGGACTGTCATCTGCCCTTAGGCTTACTCAGTCCTCACAATAAAGCATTTAGCTCCTATTGTTATCATCATTCCCATTTTACAGATGAGGAAAATGAAGCCACTAAGAGTTGATGCACAGAGGATGAGTGAGGGCACAGAGACCTGAGCCTGCGTCTGGCTCCTCAGGTCATGCTCCCAACCACAGCCAACTGCAGCTCCTGCCTCTGATCACAAAAGTAACCAAGAAAGGCCAGTAGTCTCTGCTAACGCCTAATGAGTGACCCAGACTGCAGGTTCAGAGGTGCTTAGGGATGCCTTTGTGGAGGAGGGAGGGAAGGTTTTGGGTAGCCCTGCCCTCCAGGGACAGCCAAGCAGTCAAGGGCAGGGAGGGCAGACTGGAGCCCTCCAGGCAGGCTTGGCCAGCCTCAGGGGCTGGAATGTGGAGACCACCCCAGACCCAGGCTACTGCCTTTCTCATAGGGTTGGGGAGGGGTCCTCTCCCTTGCTCGGTCCCTAGACAGCCTCCACTACTCTGTGTAAGTTTTGGTGGTGGTTTTGGCAAAGCTCTGCCGGGGGTAAGAAGAGAAGGGGAGAGGAGAAGACAGAGCTGTGGCTCAATGAGCCTTTCCCATCCCACTTTCTGAGCACAGCCGAGAGTGGGTGGTCACCTGGATGGACTGAGTGGCCACAATGCTCCCCTCCAATGTGCCCCAAATGTACCTTTGGACTCCCTACTCTCCAATCCCCAAACATACACCCTGTTCTCAGCTGCCATGCCTTTGTTCATGCTGAACTCTTGACTGGAGAATACAGCATCTCACACTTCTGGGGGTCCACATCCCATCCACACTTCAAGGTCTCACTTAGACAACCCTTTCCCCATCCCTCAATTCAGAGGCTCCATCTCTCCAGCCTTTGGTCTCCTGATTCTTGTCATTTATTTGACTCTACCTTGAACTGTAATGATTGGTGTCTCTGCTAGATTGTAAGCTGCTTAAGGGCAGATCATATCATTAAATGCTTAGCACAGTCCTGACACAAAGTTGGTGGAAGGTCTATGGCAAGGGCTGTCCTTAGCTGCCATGTTGTGAGGATGCTCAAGCAGCCCTAGGGAGAGGTCCCCAAGGCAGAGGATTGAGGCCTTCTGCCAACAGCCAATGCCAACTCGCTAGTTGAATGGGTGAGCCACCTTGAGAGTGGATCCTTCAGCCCCAGTCAGGCCTGATGACAGCAGCCCTGGCTGACATCTTGATTGCAACCTCATGAAAGACACTGAACCAGGACTGCTCAGCTGAGTATCTCCCAAATTCCTGATCCACAGAAACTATGAGGCAATAAATGTTTATTCTCATTTTAAGCCACTAC